TCTTTGCCACACCTCTCAAAACTTACATCATGCCACCAGTCACACACTCGTGTGTCGCGTCTCCTTACACATCTTACTACACAAACACTCTCCTGTGCAGTTTGTCACGTCTCACTGAACCAGTTTGATTCAAATCTATGATCTATTACTACTAAGAACGCATCTGAGTGATTTCTCCAACAAATGTTTTATTCACTTCCTGAAAGATAGAAAGATATGTCGACATTTCTTAACATGTACAGAAAACTTTCAAAGCAAAGTTTTGATGCCGACAGTATGAATAAACTCAATGACCTCTGCAACACATGCTTTCCTCTCCTCTTAACTTTAGCTTTTTCTCCGCTTCAGTCTCTCTCTTTCTCTCCCACACACACACCACAACACACACACACACACAAACACACACACACACACACAAAAACAACATCTAAGACAGAGGCGAAAGAAACAGAGGGCACTCACCTTTTTAACCTGGTCATCCTTGAGTTCAGTGAAGTAATAGGCTAGTAGCTGGGCCGCAATCATCCTGGTCCTCTTTGTCTCTCACACACACATGCAGGCTCACTCGAACACACACACTCTCTCTCTCTGTCTCTCTCTCTGTCACACACACGTTCACCTACAGTCAGATGGATAAAAATCCGAAAATAAAAAGGTAAAAAAATATAGAGAAACTCTGCTCTGGCTCTGCTTTGTACATACAATCTGTCACACGCTACAAGAGATATAAAAATATCCCTGAGTCCAATCCGGTGTGGTTTAAAATAGACAGAGCTGCTCCATGTGCGGCTAAGACTCTACAGCTCTTCCTTCTCTGTGCATGTGAGTGAAGCCAGGAAGCATGAGTGAGACAGCAAGTTTAGCTGCAGGAGGCAGAGAGGAGGAGAGACAGAGAGAGGTGCAGGGAGGGCTCGAACATGAGCCCTGCCCACTTCATGTGAGCTCATTGGTTAGTGTGTGAGTGTTCTGGGCGGGGGTGAGTGCCACATCCTCTTTCCTACCATTGGCTGGTCTGCTGATGCCTTTGAGGCCAACACAGTGATGGAGGAAGAAGAGGGGGGCCACTTAATTAGGGAGGAGGAAATGCACGGAGGGGGAGGGAGGTAGGGAGGAGACATATAAAGCAAGAGGGAACGACATTGAGGTACATTGGGTTTTACTGTTCCGAGGAAGTTATAAAGTTAGATTCCATTCAGCCTGTGTCAGTAAGAAAATGAGTCACACAGTCATGATTTCACTCAAAGTACTATAAAGCTCTTCAGTCAGTTGTGAGCTGGCTCTGAAGGCTGAGAGGAGGAGGAGGGAAATCCACAACCATTTCCTTCTCTGCGCCTGAAGGGGGGGAACTTTGAGGGGTGTAAGGACAGCTTTGGTAAAGTTTGGGAACCTGACGGTGTGGGGCCAGGGAGTATCAGTGGATGTGTTGACTGGGGGGGCAGAATGTGGCAGAGTTTAGGTTAAACAAGCTCCTTCTCCCACACCTCCCTCTGTGACACTACCTGTTCTGTGTGGATGAGTTGACTGAAAGCTTAGACAGTAAACTATGAACTATAAATGCGTGTGCAGATGATTTGACTTCTTTATATTTGCCTTCTCTAAGATGCTGAATAGTCCAACAGAAGAGCATACACCTGCCACTCTTAATGTTCACTCCACCTACTTTTCCATAATTTAAGTAGGAAGAAAGCCACTAAGTCACTCGCTCAACCATCCTGAGAGTCAGCCCATCAGACAGCCGCTTTCTCTGGCTCCACTGTCCTTTCAGACAGGCGTGACATCATCATCACAACAACAGCTGTCTGTTGTCTGGACTCTCTGAGAGAACAACAGACACAGAGGAACTGTAACCCTACTTAATGTGGAACTAAATGTGGAGTAAATGCCACCTTAATACTTTATCTAAAAGGCAGCAGTGTGGCAAAGTGAGGAAACTGGCTCAGCCCAAGCTCTGTGGAAGTATCCTCCAGCACGCTGTCTATGGATGAAACTTTGTAGGTGACTGACTTCTAAATTTGTGATGGAAAGGTTTAAGCAAAAATTTGGAGTAGCAATATTCAAATGAAAACTTCAAAGTGGTGTTAATTTGATTTGGCTTTTTTTAATAAAGATTATTTAAGATTAAAATGATTTTTTGTCTCCAACTGAACCAGTACTGACTAAACCTAAATATGTCACAGCTTCCAGTGCTTCCAGTACACAGTGGAAAATATTATCACATCCAAACACATGAGTTCCTCCTTTACTAGAATGCCTGGGGCCAACCTGCCTGGACTTGTTGCTTTCATTTGTGCAGGGAGTAACAGCAACTTACACAAAAAAAAACAGCTGGGCAAAAATGAAAGAAGATGCCATGTCATCTACATTTGGTCACTTATCAACAGTAATTAGAAAAAACATCACGTCCCTTAGGTTCATCATCGACTGCAGTTTTTCAGGCGTGCATGTAGCGTGTCCATGTTGCTCTTAATCCTTTAATCGGTACACTATAGTGCAGGTCAATTCTCCTAGTTACATTATATTAGTCCCAGTGAGTTTTCTGGTGTTGTGGTTATACACCATTTGCATATAGCTTTACTTTGAGATACTCTCAAATACCTGCTAACTTATGTTTGCAACACTTGTTAGCATGTCTGCCTTTGTGAAGATCACATTAATCTGAGCACAGTCAGCTGTGCCAGAAAAGTTAATAAGGCAGATCAATCCACACCAGCTATCTTTAGCCACACTGCTACAGGCTAAGACATATGACAGTAAGTTAACCACAAGTACAATACAGTACAGAAAACTAGCTGCCAACAAAGATGGTAGCTCTGTACAGCATCAAGTCACATGACAGCACAGTATTTCCAAGTTCTATACATTTCAAGTTTAACTACTTGTTTGTGTCTCCCTCTTTACTCCATCATCCATTTCCAGAATATCTTTGTAGCCTTTTTCGACAGACTCATGAATCTTCTTCAATTTCTCATTCATCACAACTCCATCAGTAATAAACATCACAAGTAATCCCACATCTTCACCACTGAATCTTCAGTTGCACTTTTTTTTTATGAATCACCCCAGTCGCAGCAGTGTTAGCTCCTCCAAATGCTATCTAAATAATTCAGTTACCTTCACTGATAAAGTTTCCCCAGGAGCCGGCATCCAACAGCTGTCACCACAGCGATGTTTTGGGACATTGAGGTGTTTCACTCTCCTACTGTCCACTCCACACAAAGGTTCAAATCCCAGTTTCATGTTTCGATTCATTGTATCTTTGGAGAGAGTATACAGGTGTCAAATAAAATGGAAAGTCTGTGCTCCTTGAAAACTGAATGTAAAGAAACAGAGGACAATCCTACAACCAAAGAGCCAGAGCTCGTCCCTTTGTAGGTCCTGAAGAACCAGCGTCTCATCTCTGCCCATCTACTGGCGACCATTTCTGTGTTTGTGTGTGCATGTGTGTGTCAAAGCTCTTATTGTTGCTTCACAGGGGAGACAAAGACACACACCCACATATTCATGGAGACTTGAACACACACACTCACACACTCACACACACACACACACAGACACACACAGAGGAAGTGAATATATAATAACACTCACACACCTTGCTCCCTAAGGAATGTCCATTCAGGGAAAATCTGAAAGATGTGTGTGGGTATTTGAGGTTATTCAAACTAAAATGAAAGCTAAAGAGGATGCACAGTAAAGGTTTGGAAAATGGAGATTAGAGAGGAAATTGATACAGAATGAAAGAATAAAGAAGAGAGAGGACATGGAAAGGACACGGAAGAACAAGAGAGGGAAAGAAAGCACGCCAGCCTCTGTATCAGCCACGTCACTGTGCTGCAGGAGCTGCAGATTCAGCAGTCCAGCTGTGTTAGTGTGTGACGCCGCATCGAAGCTGCAGTGTTGGTGCATGTGTGGTGAAGATATTAGGTCACTACTAGGACAGTGTGGGATTACTGTTCTGTGTATGTGTGTGTGTGTGTGTTGGGCGGGGGGGGGGTCTGTCTGTGTGTGTGACGTAGTCCTCATCTGGTAGCATTCTAACATGTTAATCCCTGACAGATTAGCTACTGTTTCACTCCTGTTGGCACGTAGCCTTCCTCCACAGATTTCCTTCCTTCCTTTCTCTAATCCTTTCTAATTTGTATCCTTCCTTCAGTCTTCCTTTCCTTGATGCTTTGGTTTTTATTTCAATTCTTTATTGTTTCCTTTATTCCTTGCACTCTGCTGCTTCCCTCCTGCCAGCCTTCATCTTCAACACATCATCTAATCTGCCATGAATGGATTACCATAAGCACACTGACCATTGCACTGCTCACTCCCTCTCCAGTATTGCCAGATCAGTAGTTCGAGATTATAATGCAACTTGTAAACACAAACACTAGTTATATATTTTTTTGCCAACGAAAAAACATTGAACATTAACAAAAAAAACATCTAACCATCACATTCACAGACATACACAACACCTGTAAATCAGGACGTTAGACTGAACCTTTATCAACACACTCCATCTTCAGCTAACTTGTATCAGCAAATACCTAAAACTTTGAGATCTTTCAGTGGATGTCCCAATGTTTCTGCCTGTACTGTTATTTCAGCGTGCACCATGCAGGCCGATAGATAAAGACACATGCAGGTGGGCAAGAATCCAGCCAGTCAGATAAAGCACACGGCCAGAATGACCAAAATGGCACAGACAGACGGACAAACAGACAGACAGACAGACGGACAGAGGGCAGAGAGACAGACAGATTGGCGATCACAAGGACATAGAGTCAGTCCAAAATGACTGAACAGAGCATCAGTTGTTTTTATTGCTGGGAAATGTGGTCAGCAGCATTCCTCTCCTCCTCCTGCCTTTCATCAATACTGAAGTACTGCTGACTAACACACACACACACACACACACACACACACACACACACACACACACACACACACACACACACACACACATTTATACATATACCATATTTTCTAAATAGATTGATATTAAACAATTAGATATTTAAAAATAATTTATTGAATTATTGTCATCTGGTCCAAAGAAGTGAAAAACGTATTAACCCAATCACTGATAAAAATTGGTGCGAAACGGTTCAGTTCTTCACATCATGAGTGCAGTGTGATCACATTTTGACTGATCTCGTCTTACTTGCAAAGTACTCAGCTCTGATATCTGAGGGTGTACCCAGTGCATGGCCAGCATGTGACTGTGCAGCTGTGGGTGTGATGCTTATCGCACGACCAACTTGTTAATGGCTGGAAAGTGAAAGGCTTTGTTTTAAAACCTTCAAGTACCAAATAAGGATGAAGAACCAAATATGTTTGCTATGTCAGTCCTGCATTAATACTGAAATTTGGAAAGTGTGTTGTGTATCACTACTACACAGCCAACAACTGAGGAAAGGCTTTTTGATGGACAAATAAGAAACATTTTCTCTAAGGAAAGAAACAGATTTAATGTAATTTTGTAAAAAAAAAAAAAAAGATATATAATTAATGAATTCATTAATTTGTTCCTTTAACCTGGTCCTTCAAACATTAATAGGGACAGTGATTAAATCCCTGACAGCATTACTGTGGACGCACCACAAAGCTCATATAGTTTTGTTTGCTGGTGGGAAGCCTGACAGGGATCAAGAACCTCTGGATCAAGATCCTTGCTGTCAGGTCAAGATGTGACGAGTGACTGATGTTCTCCCACACGACATTCAGGACATTACCAGTGACAAGAACAGCATTGCATAGGGTATCAGACATTCCATATTGCAAAATAAAAATTACAGGAACTGAAACAAAAACTGTCTATATATAAAATTTTGTCTGTGAAGTTACATCTTCTCTTTCAGTCTGGCCCCAGCTGTGATGAGTGCAGCACCCTTCCCACTGCCCTCGTCTGATGGGAGGAAGGTCACGTTACACTGGGGAGCCAAAACGCTAGCAGTCTCTTGGAGGACTCCAGAGAAACTAGAAATAACAGAAGAAGAAGAGTTTGTAGTTTTTGGAAAGTAATTCAAGGAAACTAAACAGAGTAAAAGTAGCTCTTGAATCCAGTTGCCAACAGCAACATTTTGAATTGAACTGAATTATGTCCACAACAAATAATAATAAAAACAACTCACTGTGGATGTAGTTTGTAAAGTGCCCCATCTACCCCTACAGTGATGTTGAGATGGTCCAGTCCTCGGTTCTCTCTGATCTTATCGACCACAGCCGCCATTCCTGCCCCACACAGCTGAGCTGCGCGACGTGACACTGCTCCACATACCTATTTAACAATGAATGCTGTTATCATTATTGCAGCAGTTAACAGCCTGTTGGTGCCACAGTTTGCTGAGCCTGACAATTTCAAATCACTTCACAAAACAGTGGGGTAAAAAAAATCTTTCTTAATCCCAAACTGAGGTTACAACAGAGAACATGATTTTTCAAGTATTGCAGTGGGTCATACCTTTAACTCTTAACCTCTCCCTGGAATTTGGGACAAATCTGAGACAAGGAACATGCCATAAGGTTGCAGAATTGTGCTATTTTACATCTGCAACAATAACTTTTATTAGTTGTTAACAAGGTTCCTAGGGTTTGGCACAATCACCTAAATGCTCCTTGTCATTTGCTAACAGGTCTTTTTCAGAGCTGATATTTTGACATGTCATAACATGAATATCGTTAATTAAACATTTCATTTAAGTGTGATTGTTTTAACGACTCTCTTGTCACCACCCTCCACCTCTGCCCAGTCTGCAGTCTCTCCTTTCCCTCTGTCTACCTGTGTGTCTGTGTGAGGGTGTTTAAGTGGAGACAGGTGTGCTGAGGTTTGAGCAGAGGCCACCAGCTGCATCCCATTCTGCAATCAAGACATCTGCAAATACCCAGCTTTGCCACTACCACCCTGCCACCCTCACTCTGATCACTCAGCTCAGCTCAGCCCCGGCTTCCCCCCTGCTCTGTTTACCAGCCACCAGACTGGTCTCTTTCCAGTCGTTCCCTCTGCACAGTCCATTCCCCAGGTCAAGCTTCATCCCCTTATCCCACAATAAATATTCTGCTATTCAGTTCTAGTCTTTCTGTCTCCCTGTATTTGCACTTGGGTTCTTCATCCTTGCTGTAACATTTCTAGTGTATATGTTGGCTCACTAGCAATACTACTGTAACCTTCGACCTACGATTACTCAAATTATCTGCTATAAAGAAAGCCTACTGGTCCAGTATAAAGTGTATATAATCAGCCGGAATTGATTTAGAGTTTAGACTTGATTTAGTCTGACTGTCTGAGCGTGATCGTGGTAAAATTGACAACTATTAATAAAATATCAAAGATAATTACTTTAACTGTCTAGGTTTGTGGACTTTACTTCAAAAACACACTGGTCTTACAAAAGTCTATACACTGACACAACAAATGTCAGAAAATGACTGATATCTGTTAGTGTTTGGGCCCCAACCCTTGCTCATCATTTTCTATCCTCTACCTCTTTTACAATGATGCTGTCATCACAGGTGCTGTCGAGCCCCAGCCCCTGGAGAATGGATCTGACCTGCAGTAGAGCCAGGCGGTCACTAGAGGGAGACAACACAGTCACACACATTACAGCAAAATACAAGTTTACAGGCATATATTGTACAGTCACACAGGTGTGTGTGTGTGTGTGTGTGTGTGTGTGTGTGTGTGTGTGTGTGTGTGTGTGTGTGTGTGTGTGTGTGTGTGTGTGTGTGAGTTTCCCCTACCTCTCTATTTGTGACAGGTATTTCGTTTCAAATATTCCACGTGTTTTTAAAGGTTCAGTGACGTGTCCTCTGAACAGCAAACCCCCTCTGGTCAAATCCAGTAATACCTGACGGACAACTTCACCTAAATACATCCCACTGGTCAGCTTTTCAAACCTAAACACACAAATAAATCCAGTAAGACTGCGTGAACACGTGACCATGTTACAGGTTAGAAGTATATAAAAGTATGTGAGTGATACAGTATGTAGCCTTAACATGTGATGTATGTGTGTGTGTGTATATATATATATATATATATATATATATATATACATACATATATATATATATATATATATATATACTGTATATATAAATAATGAAACACACACAAAACATGAAGATAAATCACACTGTGCTGTATAAACATAAAATTTAATATGTGTGTTTGATGGCCAAGCAGGGAGCATTTAGAGCGTGCATGCGCGCGCACACACACACACACACACACACACACACACACACACACACACACACACACACACACACTTTCTGACCTTTGTTTTCCGTTGTTAAACGAGTTTTGGTCCACCTCAACATCATAAGGTGTGATGATATCATTCAGAGAGCCATCATCACCCAGACCTCCCCATTCTGTGTTGATACACATCTTTTGTATCTTGGCATCCCCTGGGTTTTTCTCTCCTTCTGTCCCATCATGCTGCTGAATGCAGATACCAGTAGTGAGGGGGTTAAATATTGGAAAAATTTGTTTAACATCACCGCAGCTCACTGACAAACACACACTGTGATGTGTTTATAAGAATTCTACCTCTTCTCTTTCAATTTGTCCTTTCTTTTGTTCAGTCTTCTCAATGTTCCTCACTTCCTCCATGTAACAAACATTACTGCCAGTTCCTGTGAAATAGAATCATATGGTTGATTTCTAACATTACATTTGCAAATGCAGCAGGAATCCAAAATATGTATACTTGTCAAACTCACTGGATTGTGTTTAGAGACAAAATCCAGTACACTTAGCAACAAGCTTGTGGTGAACAGTCAGACCCAAAACATTATTGTTAAATGCATTACTGTCACAGTAATTTTATGGACACTAATTGGTGAATAGCTTTTTTGATTCAATCCCAAAATTTACCATCATAAATACAACACTCACCTTAACCTCTACCTTTAACTTAACCCTAAACACAGTTTAAGTCTTAATCTGAAAGCAAAGTGTCAATCAGTAAGAAAAGTGAGGACCAACCCAAATGTCTTGACTTTGTTAACATATCCTCAATCTTAAGGTCACGTACCAGCAATCAGCCCAACCTCACACTGAGGGTCTTCATATGCGCAGCTCATCATCGTCCCAACTGTGTCATTGATTACAGCTACTATGTCCAAGTCAAACTCCTGAACAGGCACAAACAAATGCAAGTTTTTACATACATGTTATTTACTGGTGCTATTGCATAGCCAAATTGCTGTAGGATACGTTCTTATACACATGTGTGTTTAACTGCTTTTATTTTAAAGGTTAGTTTTTAAGGACAAGCATGTAGTACATGATTTAACATCAAAGGAAGTGTATTGTAATGTAATGTACTGTATGTAAGAACATGGCAACAGATCCAACAAGAGTCTGGACTTGTATCAAGGGGGATGTCTCATCATCTGTCATTATTTATTTAGTGGTGAAAAACTGTTCTGTGCATCTTACAGGTTCATTGTCAATATTTTTACATGAACAAATTGGAAAGAGCATTATTCTTTCACCTCATCTGATAAAACCCCCGATCATAATTATGATACTCTATTTTGTTGTAGTCATACTCACATTGCGTCTCTTGATGGCCTCCCGCAGCAAGCTAACAACATCATGCCCTTCACAGTCTGTGGCCTTGAAGCCTTTGGTCCAGCTCACCAGTGTCCCCTACAGAACATACAGAGTTGGAAAAGGTTACAAAAGTGATGTTTCCTTCGGTGTCTGTTCACTTGTGTATTTTACTGTATATTTATCGTTAGAAGAAGCCTTTATAAAACTACTTATTTGATTACTGATTGTTATTCCAATGAGAAAAAAAATATATGTTTTTTGTACTTAACATAAGTGAACTCAAGTGCATGACCAACCCTTTGATGTCCATGCTTACCGTGTCAATGGCCGTCTGCTCGCAGGGGAAAGAGAAGGTGAAGCCCGCAGGAAGACGAGCGTTTTTCAAACCCATGTAGTCCAGGAAATCACTAATACACTCCACAATATGATCAAACAACTGGAGACAGAGTGAGAGAAAGAGAGAAAACTTTTTGATGAAAATCTGTCGGCTGTGTACTTGATTTTCACTATGTTTTTTAGGAGAATTAATTTGACCTTGCACTTCTAGTAAATAAAACTAATAGACTTTTCAGACTTTTCAGTGTATCTGTGTGTCTTACGTCTTCTCCAGTTCCCTGCATTATCTCCTGAGGTATGGTGTAGAGCTTATGGTAGAGTCGTGTGTTATGCTGAAGACCTTTTTTGAACTTCACTAGCAAAGCTCTGAAGTTGGTTCCTCCCAGATCCAGACCAAGGTATTTTCCATGCTCTTGAAAAAAACGCAGAGAGTAAGCGTACTGATTATCTGATTCAGTGAGATTCAGTTAAATGTTTTCATCTTCATGTGGGCAATTAAAAAAACAACATGCTGCTCGTTTCAAGCAAGAACTTACCTCTCTTGTTGAAGCTGAAAGAGAGTGTGTGTTTGTGTGTGTCTGTGTGTGTGTGTGTGTGTGTGTGTGTGTGTGTGTGTGTGTGTGTGTGTGTGTGTGTGTGTGTGTGTGTCTGACCTGTGCCATCAGGTGTATGGTACACAAAGGAAGGCAGCATCTTGATAGCAGAGGGGCCTTTTGTCTTTAGTCCTGCCTCCAGCCCCGTCCTCATCCTGGCCTTCACCAACTGGAGCTGCTCATGGCTCAGTCTGAAGGGAGACAGTGTCTCATCCACCTGGATCACAAGTGAGAGAAACTGTATGTTAGACACCGTTTTATTAATCAAGATGAGATGTTTGAAGGCACACACACACACCACACACACACACACACACACACACACACACACACACACACACACACACACATACAGCATCCTATCCTAACCTTTCGCCTCCGTGATGCCAGTCGTTGAGCAACTGCTGTTACCAAGGCAGCTCCTTTGCTGCTGCCACTGTCTGACAAGACGAATCTGACATGGCACTCAGGAAGCAGCCGGCGCACCACTTTGTGGAGGCGTTTAGGATACCTGAAATAGAAGGAGTCTAGTGTTTAACGTTTGTGACCTCTATTGGTAATCTGTGGCAGCTGCAACAACATCACTACTATTGTAATTAACTAGCAAAGAAGTCTGGCACACAATGCCAAGTTGATTAAACAAATTAGAATCTATAATTATATTTTTATTTAGACCCTTTTAAATGTATTTTATCATGTCATAACAATGTGACCAGTCAAAATGATGATTCAAGGTATTTACAATGAGATGAGTAATTACAATGAACTTGTAGTGGTAAAGTAGTTGTAGTTTAAAATTTGAATCTCATTGTTAATTTTGTAATAGGCCTTTCACACAACAGACATTTGAACTTGTCACAGTAAGAAAAGCACAGGTGCAAATAATGACATTGTCCCAGTAAGCCATGACAGTGTGACAGCAAACCAGCAGGACTTTGAAACTGAGGCAACAGAATTCAGCCATCATTCATTTTAATATTTATACCTGTGCTTTTCCCACTGTGACAGGTCAAAACATCCTCCAGGAAACAGACCTATTGATGTGCACCACTCACATATTAGTATGATTTTCCATAATAACCTACTGTGGGTGGGTCTTGTACACTGTTCCGTCCACACCTACAGTGATCCTTAATGCCCTCAAATTCCGGTTTTGCTTTATACGAGTCAAGATGGCAGCCAGTCCCGCAGAAACCAGATTTGAGGACCTGAAGGACACAATGGTGGTGACATGCTGGACAGCGATGCAGTCATCAGGAGAAGGGTTCAAGTCAAGGCCCGTGAGAATGTCTTTGGTGTTCTTCAGACCATTTTTGTACCTGAGAAAGATCAACATTTATGATATCTGACTTTTCAGCCAGAGGCAGTGTGACACATAAAGACAAAGATAACTTACTCCTCCATGGCTGCCACATCTGCAGTGGTTATTTTTCCTTTGGTCCTCAGGGCATGGGACACAAATCCATCAAACAGCAGGCCTTGTTTAGCCATCTTTAACACAACCAGCCTCACCAACTCACCCAGATACATCCCACTGACCATCTTCTCAAAGCTGCAATGAAGAAGTGTGGGAAGAGATAAAAAAAAACAACACTTTAAGGTTGATATTTTGTCATTCGGGCTGTGCCATTACGTGCCATATCACCAAAAAAATACAAAGCTGCTTTCCTTACATTTGTTTCCCAGGGTTGTTGGAGGCTGCATCGACATCCTTGTCAAACTCAGTGAGGTATTCATTCAGAGCCCCGTCATCTCCAAAGCCTCCCCACTCAGTGTTCACGCACATCCTGCCTTCGTCTCCCTCCACCAGGTCAACGTGACGTAGCTCCTCCATGTAGCACGCATTGGTGCCTGTACCTAAACACAAAATCATACAGGAAATCCACTGAATGAATTATGATAATTAAAATAAATAAATAAATTTTACTGGTGACGATAATTTTCTATCTTTAATCCTCTCTCAAGTAAATGTCTACCATAACCATTACTTTTCATTTTACCCTTAAAATTAAGTCTTAGTCCTGTACTAACCTTAATTTAACCGTACACTAATTCTTACCTTGAGACCAATACCATATCCTATCCTTAAATTAGCAACTATTAACCCAGTTTGTGAATATGCAGTATAGCACAGTGAACAAGACCATGCGCAAAAAAAACCCACACTAACTCACGCACACATGCAATAACACAGTGAACCACCAGAGAGAGCAGCAACTTAACTAAAGGTCCACAAAACCTTTCAAGTTTTGATTACAAAGTCGTTGTTAGGATTGTGAAATGATTAATGATGCCTGTATTTGATTATTTCATCATAGTATGCCAAATATGTTAACTTCACTCTAAAAGTAAATTTTTACTTTTTTAACACTTAAGAAGGTGGTAGGTCAATTTTATTGAGTCTGCAGATTGTTGTGGTGGATTGTATTGTATTATAGGGTCAGGTGTTCTTTTTTTTCTCCACTATCCAAACAGTACATTATACAGACAGCAGAAAAAAAATGGAAGATTCAACAGACACACAATGAAGATGAAATATTGCAAAGAATGTTTGTCACAAAGACAAAGCCACACTGGTAATAACTGTTTTAGCTACAGAGCAGCATCCCTGAAGTTGGAGGTTGATTTACAGCACCAGTTGTCTGCTGCCTTATACAGCTACAGGCAGTTGTGCAAGAAGTATTCAGATCCTTCAAGTAAAAGTACCAATACAGCAATGTAAAATAACCAGTAACTATAGCTGTCAAATAAATTTAGTGCAGTAAAAAAGTAGACTAAGTGTGTAGAAGTATAAAGTAGTAGAAAATGGAAAAGCTCAATTTCAGCACTAGAGTAAATATACATAATTACTTTTTCTCACTACAGCAAATAGTATGATTCATATGAATGTACTTACCAATGATGAGTCCTACTTCACAGTAATTGTCATCAAACCCACAGGTCATCATGGTGGCTACAGTGTCATTAACCATAGCCAACACCTCCATATTCATTCCCTGCAGAGTGATGCACCAAGTTAGAATTAAAGTCAAGTTTTTGTAACGTTCTTACAGGGCTAATGTGGTCATTCATGGGTGCATATGTGCATCCGTCCATTCTGACATGACCATAATGTATCACCCTTAGCAAAACAACAAGTAAAAAATCTTGCACAGGACTGTACACAGTCTACCTCTGATTACAGTCTCCTATTAATGGCATCTGTTTTGATAATGTCAGCTATGAATGGTATCACAGTTACAGCAGAATGTTTCGGCCAAATGTGTAAAATAAGATCCTCCTCAACAGTCGTGTCTCAGTTCCTTTGAAGGTCTCATGAATGAAAAATAGTCCATACCCCAGTTCTGTCAATAGCTTCTCTGAGGGCCTGGACCACATCCTTTCCCTGGAAGCCTCGAACCTGGTAGTTCTTACTCCAGTTTAACAATTTTCCCTGCAGAGAGGAGAGAAGAGGTCAGGAAGTTTTTAGGAATGTAAATCTAAAAAGACAGCCATGTCAGCATAGAGAGTAGGATATACTGCAGGTAGAGGTCATGAAAACCAAAAGAGTGTCATTACCTGATCCAGGGTGGACTGTTCACAGGGGAAGGAGAAAGTGAAGGCCAGAGGATGTTTCTTCTCCAAGCTGATGTTCTTCTCATGAAGGAAGTCCTTTAAAGACTCTGACACATGGTCAAATAACTACACACGGAGAGTCAGACAGGGAGAGAAAAGAGAGAAAGAAAGTAAAGAAGGTGGAAAATTTAAAAAAAGCCTCTTCTCTGTTAATCAACCCTCCTCAAATGCCCATATGTGTCCTAAACTCTTCCTATCTGCCTTTGCTGTTCCCTCTTGAATTCCACCTTCCCTTCCTGCTCTCCATTTTCACTGTTGGTTCCTGTCTCTCTCGTTCGCCTTCTTACCTCTGCTCCTCTCCCCGCAAGTAGCTCCCCAGGTATGGGGTAAGTCTTCTCCTCCATCTCCACTCCTCCCCTCCTAATCCCCATTCCCTCTCTCACTTTAACTTGGAGCACTTTAAACTTGGAGCCTCCAAGATCCAACGCCAGAAACTGTCCTTTCTCTGCAGGAGTGAAGGAGAGAGACAAGAATATAACATCTGATTTGTTTATGTATGGATTATATGTTTCTTCAGAGTTCATTGACCAATGCAACAGCCCGAAAAAGTGTGAAAATCCCTAATCTGAATAATGTGAGTAACCTGATCCAACAGGAGTGGAGCGGACATGTGTTGGCAGCATCTTCACTGTTGCAGTGACATTGCTTTCTGCTGAAAGCCCCTTCTTCATCTCAGCCTGGAAACGAGCCGAGATGTCCTTTAGCTGGTCGTCATGGAGACGCATTGCATACAGAAACCTGTCCACCTAAAAAAAAATTATAGGACAGACAGCACAACAGAGACAAAGAGAAAATGTAAATTCATTATTGTCCCATACAGAAATGTAATATATGACATATATGTCCCTATAATAGTAATGTTGCCATATATGTCACCTATCAGGTGATATATTATAATCACATATATACATCCTCTGGATATATGAAGATATAACTTTATAACATGTATGTATATATATTAAGAAATATATATCTATATGATGAGATTTTTACATAGAACACATATGCTCGCAACATATGTGTTCTATGTAAAAATGATGTATGCATTAACATATATTTTATTTATTTATGCAAATTTATTAGAACAACATACATATAAAACAATGTTTGTATATGTTTTATGTGTATTCATTTCTCATTAATTTCAAACATGTCATTGTTCTCATTCAGGGAACGTGGTCTCAGACATTTGGACTCTACTGTATATACTATAAACATATATTAACAGGCTTTGGGATCGATATATATTAGGTAACATATGTCTACAATATAAGCATACGTACATAAATGTATATTTTTGTATAGGCCGCTAGACATACATGTCAATATATGAAACTGTGCCAATTTAATCTAAAAGGTTTCATATATAATTTGTACATATATTTACACATAAAATAAAACGTATATTTCATATATGGAAATTCAATATATGTACATATATTACATTTGCATATGGGTGAATCTGATCTGTCATCATGTTTATGTGTGTGAGAAGGAGCTGTTCAAGACAAACATCACTTCTTTCACTCTCTCTATTTGTAGTAAACAAATAGGAGCAGCAGGACAAAAGATGTTTGGGATGGGTCAGATTCACTCAATCTTGTTTATTTGACCTTCAAAGAGTTCTTCAAGGTTCACATATGTTTAAAATGCCATGAAATCTGTAGCAGCATGTGTTAAACTCAGACTCAGTTCAATACTAACAACAGTAACTTAATCCAGGGAGTGTCACTATAAAAAAAATCCTTCCCACACTCAGTCCCACTCTGTATACTCAGCCAAACTATCACTGAGACATGTTCACAGGACAAGGTCCCTCTGGCTGTGCACTGTGTCTGTGTGAGTGTGTGCTGCATTGCTAATGGGAGTGTCTATACTTCGTCCTGGTGAGAGTGTGTGTTGATCTCATTTGCACTATGAGAGGATTAGTGACACTGCCAGGAAAAGATGTTAATCATTTCTTAGGAAAAGACAAATGGTGACACAGTAACTATTGATTAAAGCACGTTGATCCTCTTATTACAGTATTACTACTACTGCCTTATCTTTTAGATTTTGTACAGTAAGGTACAGTAGCCTATTTGTGTGCACATGCAAAACTTCAGCAGGTCTATTTCAGAATATGGATAAATCCTTCCATAAACAACAGTGAATTATGAAACACCAAATTAGAGCACCCTAAGTGACGAAATAATGAAGCTGAATAAATCTTAAATCTAAATCTCACCTTTCAATGTACCCGAAGCTACTAATTTGATCATGTATGTCATTATTTCCATTTAAAATGTTTTACAGTTTTAAACTTGTGTGCAACACAAGGTCAACACAATGAGTAACTCTTACCTTCTTTGTGGGGTCCTCCTGGAGTTTGGAGAAGAAGAAGGAAACAAGATGAACAGCCAACATCTTGATGTATTACACATACCACCATGTAAACTCCTTCGAGATCTGGTTTGTTTCTTTGAGTTTGCACGTCAGTGCACGATGCAAGTGCATACACTTAAATGAAATTATGAAAAATGTGTTCAGTCTGTGTGCATATAAAGATGCAGAAAGCCTCTTTTTTTCCCCCTCCTGTCTGATGGTCTTTTGTTCTCACTGACCGAGTCCACTGAGCAGAGACCAACCTCTGCACTATCTCAATGATTAACAACAAGCCAAGCCCTTTTCTACTATCACATCCTCTCTTGAAACTTAACATGCAAGCTTTGGTTGGTTCATGCAAACTGACATTCAATAATTTGACCCACCATTGAGCATTGATTTTAGCTTTTAGTTTGTGTTAGTTTTTATGTGTCATAATTGTTGATCTAATGTGTGCGGCACATAAAAAACAAAAATTGAGACAGGTAAAACTGTAGATTTTTATTGACTGATGTCATCACTTTATATGCAAAGAAGAAAAAAAATATGGCATCTCATCTGTATATAGACACTAACAGGGTTGCGCTCAATTCAATCTATTCAAAATGTTAGCTGTATGCTCACAGAAAATGCTCTTCATTAGAGAGCACTTTAAAGTGAATGCTTCAGGTATTCCCAAATAAGCTGGAAATATACTCTCATGCTGCTTTGAAGTTCTACATTTGACTCCACTGAACCAAGCAAAGCTTGTTCCCGACCTGTATAACCAAGTGCATTTTAAACAATTTCCTGGTCACAAAAAATGCTTCTAGAATAGCATTTATGAGAGTGTGACCTTGGCTGAAACTTTATTATGCCAAACAATGTTTCTTGTCACTTTGAGCCGTGGGTTTAGTGGTAACTCCGAAGGAACCTGGCATCTCCAACAGTGATACACGACGCCATTTTGTGCCTTTTAAATTAGTTTACAAGATGAATCTGTGAGTTATTTTCTGCTCTCACTGAAAAGGGAGAATCTCTGACCAGGTAGCTGATCTTCCAGAGGGACCAAGAAAGTAGAAAGTAGTTCACAGCATCCTCAACTAGAGACATTTTCCATCACTAGTTACACTTTGTGCATTTGTAGGTTGGAGGAAAACATACAGTGAGGTTTTAGCACAGTAAAAAAAAAAGTACATTACGTGACAGCCTGGCGCATTACTCCGGGTGTACATGTCAGACCATAAAACACTCCTCTTGCGTTGCAACTACATGTTGGTGTTTATTTGTACAGCTCAAGCTCTCAGGCTAAAAGCTTTTTATGAGTCTTCCAGGGTCAGAAAAGGTTCATAGATCCCCTTTAAATGCCCAAAATCATGATTCATTTCAGGCAAACCACCAGATATTACTATTGTATCAGTTATTGATCTCCATGGGAACAGTAATGACCTTGCACCACCATTAATATATAGTCGTCTTCCTCTTCATTTCTTCTTCTTTTTATTTTTCCCTTTGTTGTTAGTACTGTGACGTTCTGTTTTGAGTGGGTGAGAGTGATCTTTGGACCACTCCCTCTGCAGCTGTCGGAGCAAATCAGGAGTCAACAGCCCGTCTTTTACAAGCCGACTGGCCAGAGAGCTTCCTATCATCTCTTCTGAGCCTCTCTGTCCCCTTTGTCCTCTGTTGCCAATGAAAAGATTACTATCCGCAGTTCCACTGCTACCACTTGTTTGTCCACGCTTGCTGAACTGTGTCTGCGTTGGGCTAGTAATAGATGGGTCAGTGGCTCTGATGAGACGGGTGATATTTCGGACGCCCTGTTGGATGATATCGTCAAGCTCTCGCTGAATTTCACGAATTGAGGCAGTGTCTGGAAACATGTCCATGAAACGGTAGCTAGAGACAGACAGACAGACAGCAACAGGGATTAGGGTGGTAAGCAGCCATTATGAGAGCTGCCTGTAAAAAATAAAATGTTATATTGTAAGGAATAAGACCTTGGAGGAAGATATATGATGATGATAATAAGTCCTAATTCAACAATCAAGGTCTAATTGAATTTACTGCACCATGTCTCTGCACACAAGCACCTGCCAATAATGATCTCATTTAAATGACAGGTAAAAGAAGTGGAAAGTAAAAAAAAAAAAAAAAAAGATAACGTTACCTTAACCAGAGGTAAAGATCCAACACATCATGAACAGCTTCCAAGTGAACCAGGTCTTTAATGTTTTTGGGTTCAGCCAGAGGCCAGCTGACGTGACGACACACCCAGTCAAAAGTCAGGGGTTCATCTCGACTGAACTGACGTGCAAACTGAAAGAGAAACAAGAGCACGAAGCTGCAAGTATGGAACAGTATGCAAAGCTTAACAATCAAGCAAATGGAAAGAGAAAAGATGAAACATTGTCTTCAGTAGTATCGTAATATTACCATTAATATTAATCCAATAATGAGAAATTAAAAGTAAAAGAAAAAATATTCTAACATCAAAACTATTGCCATTCATTAGTGTATTATTATTGTATTACACAAATGACATATTTAGCTTTACACTTCTTAACCACTCTACAAGCAGAAAGGAGTTTTCATTGCTCACATACACAATACCTAGAACATAGCCCTGAATCTCAAAGGTCACTTGTTGAGGACTTTATTCTGTTGCTAATCTTATTTTATCAGAGTGATATTACCATAAAGCTAGAGTGTATTGCACAGTGCCTATAAAAATCTTTTTCTTTTTACAACACTGACTCACTGAATCAGTTTCTGTTGTCTGAAGGAAAACCAGGTGTTTTTCACTGACCCCAATAAACCCAGTCACTGCTTTTACTATAAATGAATTATTGTTACTTTCCACCTCAGTGTTGCTACTGCGCATCAGCCCACTCTTCCTTCCTGGTCTCTCCTCCTTAAATCTCATGCCTCCTCCTGTTTCCTTCTACTCATCCTTACCTTCAGGAAGGAGGTGCATACAAAAGGTTGTTTTTTGTTGATGGGAGCAGTACAGAAGACGTAGCGTGACCTCAGGTTGAGTGGGATGTGCTGAATCATATCAGCCAGAAACTTGAAGTCATCGATGTTGCAGACGAAGTACATACCATCCACCTGAGAGAGGCTGACAAATATGTCCTGAGAAAAAGAGACGGAGAGAGAGAGAGAGGATTCACAAAGATGAGCCTACAGTGGACACACAAAAAGAGTGTCAAATATTTATCAGGACTCAAGTACGGTGGATAAAACCATCAGAATTTAGCAGTCTTTTCTTGACTGTCCATTCTGAGTCCAACAGCACTAAACGGCACAGAAGTCCACAATTCTTTTAGTTTTTTTAACAAACTTCTGTTTCAAACATGAAGTTCAACATATACCAATAACGTAAAAACAGAGTGTACATGTGCAAACCCTTCACTGTTGGCTGTAGCTCTATGTGATCATTTTCCTCACACTGTTGCTATCATGCTTAATCAAGGTGGGAGGGCAAATGAATAGACGGCTTTACTCACAACGAGGTTGGACAGGGTAGCATCAGGTAGATGATAGGCAAACATCTCTATCTGCTCTGCTGTGGGATGGAGACCTGCAGTCTGAGACAAAGGAGGAGAGATAAACATCCTGTGCAGCTGGGACTGTGGGACTGTGCGCGCGCGTGCGTGCGTGCGTGCGTGCGTGCGTGCGTGAATGATCACCTCTATGGGCTCTACTAAGAGGCTGAGTATTTCCTTCAGGACAGGCAGATCATCTCTGTGCATGGTGGTAACTTCTCCTTCTTTAAACTTGGAGGAGAACCTGAGAGATATGACACAAAAAATACACTAAGTTGACAGAAGCTCACTTGTGAATGTTGTGTCCTCTCTCCCGCCTTTAACCCTCCAGAATGGGGACAATATAAGCTGAAATGAGACCGACCTGCCGGCGCGGCCAGCGATCTGCAGAGCCTGTGATGTGCTGATGGTCTCCATCTGTTTCTCCCCCTTCTCATTAACATTAGGCTTTACCAGACTGTTGAAGATGATACGTTTTATACTCCTAAAGAGAGAAAGTGGGAGACATACAGACAAATGGATAGATGTGAGCTGAGTTGATGGAATTTACACAAATTATTAATGCAAATTTGACCATTATGCTGCCACTGTAGCTTAATAAAGCCTATATGTGTAGTGGTATATGCTGAACATGCCAACAAACAACAGAAAACTTTAAAAAGGGTAAGTGTTTAAAGTTTCCCAATGACTGATAAATATCAGGAATACAGCCTGGGGGCTAATATTATATCTCCATATTTCACAAAACACCAACAACACACTCATAACTTCTTTTGGGAAACAGTACATCAGTGAGACCATGTAACAGGTTTTCTTTTAACATTTTTTAATTATTTCTATTATTTAGAAGATACCTTGGTATCATTTATACTTACAGGTTAAGGCCCATTCCAATGGCATCTGTAGCGACCAGGATCTTGCAGGGGTCATCAGGGTCATTGAACTTCTTGGCCTGTGACAGCTTGGTGCCTGTAAACCACAGAACAACTAAGCTTGGTCTTTGTAAAAACAGTAATCAGCAGAGTGTGGAGCTCATTTACAAAAGTTTCTACTACACAAAAGTCTGATATGAAGGTTTGTATATTACTTATCAATAACATGTTTTTGTTTTCTAATGTTTATTTGTTGCAGTGTTCAAACTGGAGCCAATGAACATCTTTGCAAGTTGAGCCCACAAAGATTTTGATTTTTCAGACATTACTCACACACTTAGATATTCCATGGACAAAAAAAGTTCAGAGAGGGTGGACGAACTTATCTTCTTATATTCTTAGCTCACTTTTAGTCATCATGAGGACCAAGTTGCACAGGACCTGTGTGACAAGTTCAACTTACGCACTCACCTGGAGGCAAGCTCCCATAAATTACAGCACATTCTAGTCCTCTGGCCTCAATCTGTCTGCTTATGGAGTAGATGTCATTTTTACTGAAGCAGACAATACAATCTCCTGGTCTCAGGTTGTCTAATGACTCCACAGCCTGATCCAAGATTGAGAATGGAGTCAAACGCTGGTAGGTGTGCACCTTAAGAGGAATGAAGGGACAGAGAAAGTTGAGAGGAATGTGAGCGGTGCCCCAAAAGAAAAGTTTGCACTCCTCCTGAAGCACTACATGCTACAGCCTCACCTCCACCTCCTCTCCAGTCGTGTACATTAGCTCTCTGATGAAGTCTACAGCTGCAGGTTCTCCACACACATGGATCTCCTCTGCACAGAGACCTACACAATGACAAAGAGAATGCCAGCTGTTGAGGTTGGGAACATCTTCATTCAAAACAAATGATAAAATCATAGGTACAACAGAAAGGTTTGCCAGAGGTGACCATGTACATAAAAATGCCTAATGATGTGCGTGTCACAACATGAAACAAGAGATTCAGAAAATAAATGTTCATCATCATTGTTTGATTACTATTACAAATATTAAGTGTGAGTTTTATTAACTGAGAGGGAAAGAAAGCTTGAGAAGATGCTCATTATTTTAGCTTCAGGCCACATGAATCACAGGGTGCAGAGGTCTTCTGTGTGTTTGACTGTATGTTTTTGAGTGTGTGTTACAAACCCAGCAGTGCTCTGGTCCAGGCCCAGCCTCTGGAAGGATCTCTGATCATCTGAATTTCATCGACTACAGCCACCTCATCTACAGACAAAAAAAACAATCCTATGTTAACTATTCCAGGTGACGTTGAAGAAACATCAAAAAGAACAGCTTGTTCAAAAGTTCTGTATTTTGGCTGATGAGTCTTCCGCAAGGAGGACCAACATTCATCCAAAATGCGACAGTCCTGTGCTAGTTACTTGAAATAGATAAAAACAAACAAAGGAGTCACTGGTCTATAAATACCACTGGATCACTTTAAAGATGGTAACAAAGTACATTCATCTGAGCATCAATGATTACAGCCACAACACAAAAACTTCAAACACCTTATTTTGACAGGTAAGAATAATTTCATTCATTTTTGTGAGACTAACAGATAAGACTTTCTAGGACTAATTTGAAAAGAGACAATAGTCAAGTTTCAATATGAGAACTGTTTTTGATCAGAACAAATGTCATCTGATTAGATACAATTCAATGCAATGTTCTACAGAGCAATGGCATTTTCTTGTTATATTGATGCTACTGTGCAGAAATGTTTGTGTGTGTTATGTGTACTCACAAGGTGTGGTGACACTGCACATCTCAATGGTGCAGGCCACATGACCAGCTGCTTTACCCTCCAAGTCCACGAAGGTCCTCTCCTCCCCTGTAACCAAGTCACATGGCACACCCTGGGAGTACACAGAGTGTCACAATTATCAGATTTTGTGCAGCTCCCTCTTAAGTCACAAAAAGGTTCATGCATGTTTTTCCCCACATATGCAGCAGTACTGCCGAAATCCCGTACAAAGACTTTGTTGTGTAAAATCAGAGGACAATGATCAGTGGAGACGCACAGCACTGTTGCTCTTCTCAAAGATCTCGTGGGCAAGTAGCTTCAGAGGGCCACAATAGACTCCAGACTTAGCGGACAGGTAGCGCTGGATGGCGTGGTAGGTTTTACCACTGTTAGTGGGACCAGCGTGGAAAATCACTTTCCTCTGGATGGCACGAGCCTCGGGGTACCTGATGAACACACAAACAGAGATATACTACAACCACAGGTGCAACACATGCATACAGATAGTGACTGAAACGTAAATCCACTTTAATGGAAGCAAAGATGTAAACCACTGTGGGGAGTGGTTAAATCCAATATGACATGAATTAACAACACCTACATTCCTGGCTCTGGATCTATAACACATACCAGTTGGCAGGGACTCTGAGGTCTGAAATCTTTCTCAGGTCATCTATACAGTCCAGCATGGGAAAGATCTGCTTGGCATGACGCATGAAGTATGGGTAGATGTCATCTAAGTGACCTTGAGAGCAGCAGAAATGAACGTTAATTAAATCATAACTTTAATTAATTACCACTGACACAAACATGTTGAGGTTTTATTAAAAACTGACAAACCTGCTCCACAGCAGATGTCACTGAGGATGATGTGGAGATCAGCGGGAAGTGAGGATGAATCCATGGTATACTTCCTGAAGCTGATGAAGGCCTGGTGGAAGAGACGAGCTGTACACGGGCGAGCACTTGTGTTAATAAGGTTTACTTTTCCTCTCCTCCCTGTGTATGTGTGCAGTTGTGAGAATATTTTCACTACAGAATTATATTTGGATTTTTTTAATTATGTGGTTAGGGTCTTTATTATATTTCTATGTAAATATTTAAATGAAATGAGAGTTAAAGCATTCATGCTGTCATGGCCGAGACAATATGTAATGTTATAAAGCCCTGTGATTTTTCACAAAAAACATTTGTTAAATGACAATTATTGGTGACTGGGTTAAATGTAGACAGATCTGGCAAATAAATAACATTTAGACTGACAACGTATTGACAACTGTGTAATGACCAACAGTCCATTTGACAGTTTATTTCCTCACCATCCAGGCCATGATCTGCTGCCAGCGTCTGCATCTCCTTCTTCTTATAAAACCGGTTCAAAACTTTCAGAAGTTCATCTGAACCATAGAAATAAAACGCAGAGAGAACCAACATGAATAAGGAAATTACTTTCATGTTAACCATTAAGAGATGACACAAGCACCAAACACAAGGAATAATACTGGCAGCAGCAGCGGCAACAGCATAAGTGAATTTACTGACCTTTACCGAGCGGCTGGCTCAGCTCTAACCCTACACTCCCATCTACCGAGGGGTCCGCCTTCAGAGACACGGGGACGAACAGAGAAGTGTCCGGGGCTTTTGGAGGAGAGCTGTCGGATGAAACATTTCTGCTGCAAACCGCAGAAGCAGTCTGATGTTGTTTATGTAACAAACCAGATCCAGTGGACGCATGAAAACCGCCAGCGGTGACGCGAGTAGTCCGGCTGTTTATGTGGCGCTGAAGCCGAGAAAACACAGACATACACCGGTTTACTGACATAGCTACACCCCGGTGTTAGCACCTTCTGTGGGCTACGCACAAAACCCGTGTTAATGTCGCAGCATACTGTTCAGCAAGTCTAAATATGTGGATTACACCAGCCAGCAGCTACAGCAGAGGACGGTCAACACACACTCTCTTCCTGCTAATACAACGTGGGACAGGACCAGTCTCTGTGTAGCTGCCCGCAAATGTGCCTGTGATAAAATTAAGCAGAAAATGGATTGATTGTTTTCGAAACGCAATGAGAGATACTTAGTTACAGGACATGGATGTTACATGAGTGTTTGTCAGATAAATTACTATGACCCAGGATCAATTTTGTTTTGAACGAATTATAAACAGGCAAAAACTAGGACTTCTCTATCGCTGAACCCGAAGATCGTATGTGCTACAACGATGATTACCTCGCCCTTTTTTTGTCCCTCAATAACGACTAAAAACGATCTTTGCAGGTTTCCAATGCCATGTATTCAATGAAGATGACTCTTAAGACTTGTTTGTACACCATTCAGTATCCACCTTTCTAGTATAATTCATCACAAATATTGAAATACGTGTTATAATGCACGTAGCCAGAGTTATAGAAATCTTTAACTTAACGCATAGGTCATAACCTTAAATTCAACACCATCTAAACTATCAACAGAAATGTTTGACTAACCACCAAGAAAATGTCAATGAATATCAATGAAATTCAGAAAAATTATATTAATATTTAAAAAAATAAAATAAAATCTAAAAATTATATCAATATAACTTTGTAGTTATAAGTTTTATCTTCTTTAATGACAATCTAAGTGCTGTTTCAAAGCTTTCGCCACTCTTCAAGAATATAATTCTGATGCACCATGCTGAACCCTTACAGAGAATTGCTAATTGTATTGATGAACACCAAACATACAGTGACCAAAAAGAGTCAAGGATGAGATAAAGGCAAGAAAGAAGCTGGGATTATCAGTGTTTGAGTTGTTATAGTATTTTGTGGAATGATTCCATCAATTGTATTGATAAAGGTCATTTTTAGCCTACAATGAGGGAGTATAGTATATAAATCTGACTCTCTCCAGATGGCCTCTATGGGAAGAGTATGTGAAAAAGCTGGACACAGATGTGTCATTTCAGTGACAGAAAACCAGTTTGTCTATAATTTGTACAACTGGATATGATTCTTATAGACTTAATGAAACATAGATATTTCTGACCTCTGCCTCTGAAAGAGATTAGTCAGCAATATTTTTTAGATATGTTGTGATCTTTCTCTCTGCAACAATAAAGTCTTTGAAAATGGTGACTGAATAGATTGGATAACTAATGCATTTAGTGGTCTTGAATTAAAAGTGTCCTGTCAATTGTACAGGAAAATCTGATGACGGCCTGATGTCATCATCTGGAAAAATATCACAGTTGACCATCCAACACTATTCTCTTGTTTAGGTGTATGACATACAATGAAATATCCTTTTAACAATTAAGATTTGAACTGAAGTTTTCTGACTTTTTTAAAGAATGTTGTTCACAAGATATTCAGTATAAATTTGCTTTATTCACTATTCATTTAAGCTATATATTTGGGTTTGGTGTATATATACACACATCATACACATATCATATCATATCATACACACACACACACACACACACACACACACTCACACATTGATGATTGAACATGATTAAACATTGTGTAAAGATTAACATGCAGTAGATAACACAGGGGCAGAGAGTTTTGGCATTTAAGTGTTTCTTCATTACCTTGAAAGGTATTTAAAGTACACCAAACAAACCCTACCTGTACAGTGTTCAGAAATACAGAAAATATATCTGACAGGCAGAGAGAAACAAAGCATTACTTGCAAATAAATTACAATGTTGCCTGACAAAGAGGGAGACCAAAATGCAAGGTCAACACTCTTGTGAAGAAACAAAGAAAAACAACCGAGTAGTAGATCGTAGTGTTCAGACATTTAAAGAAAGAAACATAACATGGTGGCATGACCTGCACATTAAAGAGACAAAAAGCAACAAAATATTGTACTTAGCAAGTCCAATTAAAATAATTAGTGATATATAAATGACAGTATAATTTCCATTACAGACACAGGAGATCTCTGAGGTGAACTTGTCCTTGAGTGATGTTTCATTTCAGCTTCCATGCCCCTTTGTATAAAGTTAAGCATTGGAGGGAAAAGTGCAAAACTGGCCACAGATCAGAGCTTAAGGGCAAATTGACCCTACACACAGGACTGGCAACATCACCAAACTGTGTGTGTATGAGTATGTCTTTAAAGCAGGACCTAAACTGCCGGTCTGAGCATCACAGTGGAACATTGTTGGATTTTACAGTATACTGATACTGCATTCCTTCCAGTGCTTACAACAGCAGACATGAGCCATTTGTTACATTAGTATTGTAAATATACCAAGAGACTAAAAAAAAAAAAAAGAAAAAAGAAAAAAGGAAAAAACCGACACACCCTTTGAAAAATAGGATGAAAGTGACAAGAACAGTGGATCTACTGTCTGCTAGTCATGAATAGTATCATTTCATCGTTCCATTGAATCATTCACAATGTAAAAAGAAGCTGTTATATCCTTGTGATGATGACAGAAATTCGTTTTCAGGTAAAAGTAACTGCATAATTTCTTCAACTTTAAGCTTTGAAATTTAGAGACTGAAGATGATCTATATCTTACATTGAATGATTGATGCAATGATGTGATAGTGAGCTGGATACAGGAACGTAAAGGTTCAGTTCACTCAAATTACCAGTAAACATATTTTCTGTTTAGCCATACAGAATAAATGTGCAGACATTTTGAGATATCTCTCTCTGATTTCTTCGTCCTCACTAATAAAATGGGAGCCAGTGGAATTCCACCAGTGGAGCTCAAAGCACTGAAATTTAATTCTCCTGTTCTACCACCATAACTTTTTTTTTTTTGAGCTGACCTGTCAAATAATTTCAAACAACAAACAGTAACTGGATTCCACTCTTGGAGATTAGTCATAAATAAACAGCACCGTAAAGATCAAACAAAATGCAGCATGCTAGAGACACATGTTGAAATTTGGAGGCAATCCTGTAGTAAACTGACAGACCCCATCACTGAAAACTGCATCAAATATTCATCTTAACAGACTGAAACGTTGTATTACAGAATTTGAATGTATGATGTTTAAGAGCTGCAATGATTAGTCAATTGATCAATCAGTTACTTCAATTAAATGGCAACCATTTTGATGATTGATTAGCTGTTTCTGTTTTTTTTTTTAAGGAAACACTCACATTCTCTGATTCTATATAAGTTAATGCAAACATTTTCTGCGTTTCTTTCTATCATGTAATTGTAAATTGAATATTTTTGGGGTTTTAGACTGATGGTCAGACAAAACAAGTCATTTGTAGATGTCATGTTGGGCACTAGGACATTGTGCCCGAGGTGACATTTTATAGACTAAATAAATCAATAATGAAAATAATGATTAGTTGCAGCTCTATATGATTTCATTTAAATAATTTTATGAAATAAATGACATTGAAATGTCAACACTGGAAGCCACATTATAAGATTAAATATAGGATTAAATTTATGTTAAGATGGACATTTGTTGCACTAATTTTTCAATCAAGTTGACATTTTACAGCATTCTGTGGACTGTTGCAACATACCTAAAAAAAACAGCAAGATGAACGGACGAGAGCACAGTGGCATCACCGTATCCCAAACTCAAGTATTGTGTATAAACATCTCATCAACGCATAGCTTAGCCTCTCATGTCCTTTGTTCAAGCTAGTCCCCACATGACTTAAATACCTGCAAGCCAATCCATTTCGAGAAACCGTCATTTTGTAGGAGGTTGGGAGGGAGGACGTCAGAGAATGTCCAGGATAAGTGCTGTCCAAATATGTAACCAAAGGAAACTCCTGTTGAGATGAATGACGTGGTGGTTGTGTGTCGCCATCTCCTCTTTTCCGACTTTGCTCCTGTTTATTACACACTCAGCAAACTGTATGGCTTCACGTGTGTGTGCTAGAGTGTGCGTTCTCAGTCCGAGGCGTCAGGATGAAATAAGCTGCCTCACTGTTCTTTACTTGGGTTGGTATGTTTTGCACTCTTGCTTTGACATTTAGCATTCAGCAGACTTGTGCATCTGTATGCAAGTGTGTTTCAGTCCTGGGGGAGCCAGTGATGGTGGTAGGACAGCTCATATGTGAAGCTGTGAAGTGGTGAGGGGGGGGGGGATCTGAAGGTATGTTATGTGTATTCATGTATACAGACATTTCTCAGTCCAGGGAGATAGTGGGGCAGCCTGTGTCTGTCTGTGGGGCAGTCTGTGTGTATTTTCAGTTCATAGCTTCACCCTCACATCTCTGGCTGCTCTGCATTAACTGGCTGGGTTCGGGACTCCGGTGACTCGTAGCGCTGATGGAAGTTTCTTTTCCTCAGCTTCTCTGGGGCTTTTCTCCACAGAACAATCTCCTACACACAGAAGCAAAAGAATAAATGCAGGGAAAAATACAATATTGCCAATTTAAAATTTGGTGGTAGACAAACAGGAGCATGCAAAAGTAGCGAAATTATGTTATGTGTACTTGAATAGTGAGGGAAGGAAAATTTCTCTGAAGGACACATAGACAGGGAGTCTTCTTATCAAAACAGTGTGTGCACCCTTGAGTTTTGACAAATATGGTTAATGCATTTTCTTCCTCATAAAATGTTTGTAAAGCCGATTTGTTGGTAGCAGTTTTCCTTCTTCACTGTGTTTCTTGTTAATTCCTGCATTTCTTGCCACAATACTGCCACCAACTGTTGATCAACAGAACAGCATGAAACCAACAACAGCTTCCCATGTGATGTGCATCCTTGTGCACTTGCACAATACAAGAAAAGGTGACCCACTCGGGAAAAATTGTTTGTTAATTCTACCAGTGGTCAAAAACTCCACAGGAGTTAGAAATTGAATCACCATTTTAATCAATTTGTCATGGACAGAAATGAACTGTATCTCAGAAAACACATGGTAATTCTGCTGCTGCAGCCCTGCACATCTGTAACAGAGAAAGTAGTAGCAAAGCACCATGGCACAGATATTAATGCTACAAATGATGAAATATACAAAGTAGCCAGAGAGACAATGTGTATTTGTGTAGGTAAGAAGCAATATATCCACGTACAATTTCTAACACACACACACACACACACACACACACACACACACACACACACACACACACACACACACACACACACACACACACACACATTCTGCTGCATTATGTAATACAGCCTGTCTTAAAGAGTGATCTATTAAAGTGATCTAATGCATGGAGAGTGTCACTCAGGACTGTTGTGGAGAGACACATGCAATGTAAGATGGAGGCCATCTTAGACAATACCAACCATCCTCTCCACAACAATCTGGCACGACAAAGAAGCAGCTACAGAAGCAAACGTCTCATCTCGCTGCACTGCAGAACAGAGAGGCTCAGGAGATCCTTTGTTCCCACTGCCATCAGGCAATACAACACCTCAGCCAAAGGAAGTGGACTAATCTAATTATTATTGTTTATTTATGATGAACTTATTATTATCAATAATGAGGTAATGGACATATGAATTTCCCCTAGGGAATAAATAAAGTAATAAAGTAAGTAAGTAAGTAATTAAGTAAGTAAGTAAGTGTCTGTCTGTCTGTCTGTCTGTCTGTCTGTCTGTCTGTCTGTCTGTCTGTCTGTCTGTCTGTCTGATCTCACTGTAATCAACAACTTTAATGGAGACTACACTGTATAAACTATACTTTTCACGCCAGTGGCATTACAATTCAGCAATTTTGGTACCAACAAAATAAGCTTGTATGGTTGTTTGTGTCATCTTAACACAGTCATACACAATCTGTCTCCAAAAATGTGGGATAAAATTAACCATATTTGAATCTTTACAAAGGCAAGATCAGAGGCAAAGATTAATTAAACAAGACTAAAAATACATAGTGATATAGACACAACTTGGCTGAATTATTCATGTTCGTCTCAGTTTGCTGTAGAGACATACAAATATTAGCTCAGATGTAGAATACGATTGCTGTGTATGCAAGTGCGTTACCTGTTGTTTAAAGTATCTTCTGTCCTCCTCATCCACCAGCACCAGATTAAGGAAGTAGCGCACAGAGAACTTCTTGTTGACATCTCTCATGGTGGGTGTCAAGTCATATCCTGTAAGGAAATGAGGGATGTGATCGGCTGTCACTCACACTTTAAATAAAAATATGTTTTTAATACGAGAGAAGTCAACAGGGAAACTGATGATATGAAGTTGCATTTTGTTAGCTGGTGAGAGGGAGGAGCTCTTACCTGCCAGGAACAGTCTGATAGGGATGGATTCTCCTTTAACTGGAGCTCCATCCATGATCTCATACTTTGCAACCGTCTCTGTCTCAGTGGTAGTACTGGGACCTAAAAAGAAGGGCAAATAGTTTCATCAAGTGAACAGGCTAGAATAAAGTAAAAGTAAAGCTGACATTAGTTTCTTTGCTCTCACTGTTGACCCAACTACTCTTAAAAAGAGTAAACCAACTGCAGCAATTTACTGCTAGAGAAACCTCAAATGTGATGAACTCCAAAATTAGTAGAGTGAAGCTGTTGGTCCAGACACACTTGCCACCCATGTGTTTCAGATCTACCCCGGATTCTTACCAATGCCTGTTATCTCCTTCTTGATGAGCTGTAACTCCATGTGTTGGATCTTGATCCTGACCAGCAGGAAGTAGATCTTCCCAACAATCACGTCCTTCAGGTGGTATCTGGCAAAGAGACACATCGAGAGAGGCTGCTCAAACTGATGAAGGGCAGGTCTTACTTGGAATTGAGTTTTTCCATGGCAGTAAAAAAGACTTCAACAAAGAAGTTAAAACAATATTCATCTCACTTGGATTTATTGTATTCAAACTCGATGTGAAGACAGTCTTCTATGCCGACTTCCATCTTGATCGAGTTGTTGACATCTGGGTAGGTGGCTAACTGGTGGACAATTAACTCGTATTCCTTCACTAAGTCAGACAGACGGCGAACTATTGTCACCCTGAGGAAATACCTGCAAGAACACAGACACTGCAAGCTTTAAGACTCAGACCAAAACAATGTAGAACATGCTGTTCTCCAAAGACAATCGGTGAAAAAACGCACACATGTGCACATACCTAACTCAGTGAGAACTTCTAGAACAAGAAATTTTCATTTACTGTTCATCCAACTTTTGTCAGAATTGGGCTGTTTTTAAGATATACTATTAATAACATAAGGTTGCAACTAACAATTACTTTAGTTGTCCATTATTAAACTCATCATTTTTGATTAACTAATCATAAAAGTGTTAAAATGGCCAGAAAAGTTCAAATTCATCCATGCTGTCTGACAAACAGAAATGTTTAATTGTAGCCAGCGCAAGGTTTGGTATTTCTACTTGATAAATAACAAAAACAACTGATCTTTTTAGTTATCAATGTATTTCCTGTAAATCAAATAATAAATATTAATAACACTGTGATATTGATATAATAATTGTAATCCCAGCAATACTGAAACCAGTACTAATAACAGCAATATATTCATTGACCCCTGGTGGAGTAACAGCACAAGACGAGCTAGACAAAAGATCCCCTGCAGACTGTTTGCTGCCCTAAGATTGAACCTGGGTACTTGATACCAAAGTCTCCTGCTCATCCGAACACTAAAATAAGTGGGTTCATGGTCATGTATATAATACACACGGTAATAATAAAACAGAAACTGCACTTTGCCTCATATCAAACTGTGCTGTGTGTATACCTTAGCCTGACGTTCGCTCCAGTATAGGACTCGTAGGGCTTCTCCACCTGCATGAACTCAAAGTCATAGCTTCTGTTCTGCGTGAGTTCTCCAGGTAGAGCCAACTCTTTCACCAAGTCCACAAACTCATGGGTGTTACTCTTATCAGAGAACAGCTCTGAAATACAGCAGAGAGGAGTTTAGAGTTCAAGGAGGTCTGGGTGGTGTTTTAAATCACAACAGTATTAACTTCAAAAAGCTTTATACATTAGCTTTATGTCATCTTCATTCCATTCTTTTTCAGCACACTGCTCTCACCCGCTCCCTCCTACTGTTAATACAGTTGGAGGAGGTTCAGCTCTACTACTGCAGGCTGCACATGATGACCACATGCTCCATTAAACCTTTCAGTCACGTGAGAAAATCCTATTGTTGAAAAGTACTTTTCCAGCTATAAAGCCCAATCCATTCAACTGGTATGTCAATTTTTTTGCACCATGCTCACCTATCTGTCCAACAAACTCGATGCGGATGCCCTGATGCTCGAGTCGCTTTCCCCCCTGCTTCACATTTAGATTCACCTGGAGAGGAAACATTCAATGAGCTCAAGTATGAACCAAAAAACATGCTATCACAGTGATACTTTGGCTGACAATGTCACCAATTTACAACTATATTTTACTATATATTACTTTGACAAATAAACACTAAAATATATTCTCTTTATAGAACACAAAGAATATATATCTTTCAACAAGAGCTATCCCCTCTTACTACATAATTCATATTGCTGGTGTTGGTACCAGACAGAGTAAGCTCTTCACAGAAACTTCAGAAAAATCTGATGACAGAAGAAGGCAAACAACCAATCAGGCAAAGATGACAAGTGAAATTAATATTGAATAAACTCCAATATTACTTAATAAAGCTCATATATATGCTGATAGATAGTTAGATCGTAGATCCTAAATATACCTGCTTTACTTCTTCTCAAACTCTGAGCACAAACATCAAAATAACCTTAGTTTCCCACTGGATGTAGGTAAAGAGAAAGTCCCAAAATAGACAGAGCACATTATGTGCTGACTGTGTTACGTTAACCAATACATAAAAATTTCCATGCTCCATGTGTGTAGGATCCCCTTATTAAAGGAGCTCTGCTCTCTGCTTTACCTTTCCAGACACAGACTCTCCGTCGTAGAACAGGTAGTGTTTTTCCACTTTCCCATCTTCTGTCTTCAACTCAGCTGTCTTTCTGTTCTCTGCATCGTTCAGCAGTACATCTATCTCACATACCGGCCCAAACAAACCTCCAAGGAAACTCTGAAAAAACAAAGTACATCATAGACAACATTGTATTACATATGTAAACATACAGACTATTGAAGATATATAAAAGCAAACTTTTTTTAAATTTAACTAGTTGGTGAGCTGTCTGAATAATAATTTGACTAAGCCTTTAGTTACAATACATTAGAACGATGGAAGAAAAAGTTCCTTGCTATATTAATCCTGAAAAGCATGGACTGCACATATTAAACTGAATGAGATTTACAAATCTTGCACTTGCTGAAAATGCTTAGTCTTCAGAGGTCTACCACGACTGGCAACTTAACAACATGAAACAAATAATCACAAAAAATTCAGAGGCATGAATGGCAAATCAATTCCAAAAGATGGCACACCACTCTCTTGATCTAAGAGGTTGAAATACTGTCTCACAGTTTCCAAATTACTGAATATATTTTACAAACTGTATCAAGAAAGAAGCTGACTCTTAGTTTACAGCCACATTCAACTATTAGAAACTGAACTCAATTCAACAGAGTTTGTTTACACACATCTCTGTGGACTGATGAACATCGCTCACTGCGCACAAATGAATGGCATTAACATCACCGCTCTTTGGGTGTGCCGTTGACACAGTCATAGTCTGAGGTTATAATCATGTAAATCCCCTTAACCTGACTTCCTTGCCCAACTCCGTGTCTATACTCAGCGAGAAAACAACATCTGTCATGTCCACACTAACTCAATCACAGCCACAGCCACATTATTTTGCTCTGAGCTGGCACAACGTCACAAACACACGCTTCAACATGCAGCAGCAAATCTGGAGGAACTAGCCCGATCATCAAGATGTCAGGAGAGACCAGTCGCCGGTTGGAAACGAGAGGGATGCTTCAATTCATCATGTCCCAAGATGCATCTGTAACAGTCTCTCAGTAGAAAGCCCAAAAATCGACTTAAAGAAATAAAACATGGGAAACACAATAACGCTGCATCAAAGTCAGTTTGATCGTTAACTAAATAAAATAATAAGCGATAATTTTTCCCAACTTGCATACCCTTTAAACATAGAACCATATATGTATTTATGCAATTTCAAGAGTTGTAATTCAACATCAGCTTGTAACAGAACAACTTCGCATTACATCGAGCTAGGCAGCAACGTCAGCTAATACCGACATTTACTTTAGCTCCTTTGTAGCCCTAAATGCCGCTAAAATAAACTAACTGTAATTGCTTCAGTTATTAGCCAATAACCACTTTTAGTAAGTACTGTTATTAGCCATAACCATAGCTGCCAAGCCGCTGCCTAGCCAAAACAGCAGGGACGGCCTCGCAACGTTACTGGTGCTAATTCGACCGACCCGGCTAGCTTTCCTGTCAGCTTTAAATATTGAGTAGCTGCTGTCGGTCGAGGCTGGGAGCCAATGTTAATATTGGGTTTTTGTAAATAAACAGGCCAGTTTACTCCAGTGTAGTCCGCACAGCTGATGCTTGTTTTAACACTCACCATCTCGGCCGTCTAGACAGTCAAAGCTAACAGCTAGCCTCGCTCCGTGTAGCCAGTCTGCCTGAACCAGGAGGTAGTATCAAAGCTTACCGTCATGTGACCCGGGTCATGTGTGTGTGTGTGTGTGTGTGTGTGTGTGTGTGTGTGTGTGTGTGTGTGTGTGTGTGTGTGTGTGTGTTCGGGGTGGAGTGGCGAGGGAAACACCCATAAGCATCCATGGGGCCATAGGACACAGGCACACTACTGACATTACAATAATCTTTAAAATCATTGAGTTTTTATCAATTTATGAAATAGTTGTTTATTCGAATATATAATATCCAGAAATTGTATTGACTTTGCGCTGTTGTAAAACTCGAATGTCATATTCATTTTTTTTATCAATAGTAACACAATGTACACACCTGTGCCTATGTATTTATAATTAATACAACATTATACATATTCTCTTTTAGAAAAGCAGAGAAGAAAAGAGAAGTCAATTTCTTTTATTTTTTGTCCAAAAAATATTGTTTTACTAGAAAATCACATAATAAAATGACAGCATAAAAACACAATCTGTCCTGATGTTAGCAATTATAAAATTCTAGGCTGGAGCAGGAGAAGATCAACTCAATCAACAAGCAACTGGCAAATTGTCCAGCTGACTGAAGAGACATGATTGACAGTTAGCAGAACAGAAAACAGAGTGGTTAGGATACAATACACTGAAAACACTACTGAATTCTGTTGTTATAAATCCTTTATTAATATAAGTATATCAAATGCAAATTAGACAACACAGAGCATGTTGAAATGCATGCATGTGCATAATACATTTTGAATATATTCCAGCTCACAGTGGTTAAGATTGCATGAATCTATTCCTGAGGGGTTTGGGCAAGCAAGATTCTCTTGTTCAACCTTGCAGACAAGAAGTTCTCAAGATAGGCTGCACAACCCTCCTAGGTAAATGTAAAGTGTCACAACATTTTGACAAATGGGATCAAATAATATAAATAAATCTTTTTGTGTGTGTGGCTTTAAGGAACGCATGCCGCATAGCTCCAAAATATAGTTGGAACCACATTTCCACAGTGAGTAATGCATGGACAACGGTGTCATCTTATTGCACTGGTATTTACAATTATTTGAAAGCAAATTTCAAATTTTATATTGAACAACATATTCCAATTTACATATCTCTTCCACAAGAAAACACAAATATAGATCACTATGCATTTGAACTAAACTAAATTAAAGTGTGTCTATGTCTCATTTATGCAGACCATTATTTTACTTTGACAGGTAAATTTGTTTACAGTTGTTGAAGAGAATAATTCCTGTCAATAGTACTGAGAATACAAAATATATATTTGGCCTTTATCAGTCTCTGAGCGACCAAGTTTTTCCACCACCAGGTGGTGATGCAATATTTTCTTTACTATCTGAGTGAACAGGGTGGAAGTAAAATAGATGCTGGCCTTGTGTATGTATGTGCTTCTTTCAGTGGATGGGTGTTGAGTCTACAGCTGCAGAAGATGGTCATCTCTCAGCTCCTGCTCTGCTGGTTTTGCCTTACTGGCCAGAGACCAGCTGGGGATCAACCGCCTTTTGACCGTCAGATCCCCACCTGCAAGCAGAAAAACAAGGAGGAGATCAGACTATGTGGGGCAGAAAAAGGGGGGACCTTGACACGAAGAGGGAAGTTGAAAATTAAAATTACCTGTCTGTGGGTCCATGTCTTTCTCTCCAGAGCCTGTCTCACTTTCTGCAGTCCCAAAGGCCGGATGCGCCATGATAACACCTCCAAATGCAGAGCCCTCGTAACCACCAGAACCTTCTTCAGGCAGAAAATCTCCAGGTGACTCCCCCTGTTCACTGATCATTGGTGTTTCCTCCTCTTCCATCTTTCCCTCTTCTTCCTCCTCTTCTTCCTCTCTCTGTGGACTTTCATCCTCCACAGGCTCTGCCTCTCTGGAAACAGAATGAGAGTCAGATATTGAGAAATGTTTGTCAATGACATTTTCACTGCATAACACACAACAACGAAGTGATGCCATTTCTCAAACTTAACACTAGACACTGCTTTGTTTTGGATTTCAGCTTTAAAGATCAAACCAGACATAAAAAAAACAATTTGTCTGTGATATGGCTCTTCCACAGAATGTTGACTGCTACTATTATACTACTACTACTACTACTACTACTACTACTGCTACTACTGCTACTACTACTACTACTACTGCTACTGCTACCACTAATAAACTCTTAAATTTACACCTCTACCTCTACCTCTACTATGCAAATAGTATGCAAATATTTTTTTCATTTAAAAATTTAACATCAAGCTGCAAGATGCCTCCTGCTTCATGGTAGAGTCCATTCTCAGTGTATGTGTGCTGGAGGTATAAAGTTTCCACACTGCACTTGTGTAAGTTAGTAAGTTCCTCTGTGTCTTAAGCTCATTTAAGGTAAGCACAGAGAAATTTTCACCCTTAAGCAAATCATATCACTCTGCACATTTCCAGTAACAATGAGCAAAACACATTAGTGGGTGAAGGTGGACTTAAAGGGTAGAGGGATTGATTGATTTGGATGGGTGTTGCTTTGTTTATGTTTTTCCAGGCTAATGATACTATTCATGTTGAAACTGTTGCTCCAAAACTGGTCAGAGGCATACTCACTGTTTTGAGCTTCTGGTTTTTTACTTTCAAACAATGAACAGGAGCAGGTAGAGGTGTAAGGAAAAAATGATTAGGACACACCTATCGTCCTCCTACATGAGTCTTTTCACTTCTTTTTCGACATCTGTCCGACACTCCTATTCGCAATGCGTGGTACCTTTAACATGTTTATTGGTTCAGTAGGTTTTATTCCAACATAGCTCAGCTTAACTTCAACAAACAGAGGGCCTTTAAACAGTTTTTAGGATGAAACGTCAATAATTGTCAAGCCCCATGAAACAGCCCCATGACCTGCAACTAGTTTTAAAACAAAAGGAAATAAAAGAAAAGGAAGCCAAGTGGATCCCTCGGTTTTAAGATAATCAGCACTTACAGAAACAGCATTAACTTAACCCTGAGTCGTTAATAATATTTTGCTTTGTAGACAGAGTTTCTTTTAAGGGTTGTTGAAATTAGAGTCAACATAAGAAATCACAGTTTAATTACTCGGTTACTGTGTCTCCTTTATGTGTAATCTGGTACCTACTTCTCAAACTTGTGTGGCGCATACCTAGACACAAAACAATAGACCAGAAGCAGCAACCCACCAAGCGTCACAGCCCACTTCCTCTCAACACTTCCCTCTTGCTTCCTGTTCAAGACGAGCTGCAAAAGTGAGGGCTGCTGGTGAGGCCCTGGTGTTTTTAAGCACGCTCAAAGTGATGATGGAGGCCAGATAAGACTCAAATACTAACAACACAGACATTCTATAAGAATAATCTTCATTTTCAAAGCTATCCACTTTCATTCACTCTGTCTCCAATAATCTTGACTTGTCACTGTAATGTTGTGGGTATTCAGTCTTACTGTATACTATAAAGGACCAACTCGGACGCTGTCGTGAGCTTAACTTTTTACTGCTCGTTAACTGCTTTGTCCAAAAACATATCAACAACCGTTACCTGTCTCAACTGCTTTGCGCATGCGCGCATCCCCACAGGTCTTAAAGTAATAAAACACATTTCTTTCATCACAGTCACCTTCTGTAATCGACATTTTCCTTTGTGCTTGTCTGCTAGGCAATCCCTGTTAATTTACAGCATTATCTATTCAAGCTTTACAACCATGTCAGCTAATTTTCAGTTGGAGTTTTCACCGTCTTTTTGATCAGACCAAATAATGTAATATGATCGAGTGGCTTGGTGAAGTAGCAGTCAGTATACATGTATGTACTTTGGCTCATTGATATCAAAACAAACATCTGTCATCTCTGTCATCCACTGTTTCTATGTTGCTGTTACCATTTCTTGTTGCACATATCTGATACAGAAAATACACTTTAGATGTGATGTGTGATCTGATGTTTTCTGTGGAAATCTTGTTATTCAACAATGGTTTTTAAACAGTTAACTCAGTTGTAATTTAATTGGAGTTTATATAACACTACAGCTCATTAAACAAACTCAAAACCCTGTGTGATTTCAACAACATCGAGGAGGAACTGACTCTGGGTAAAATATGATTTGAGGTATTAATTTCTGAAAGCTTTCCTTTTTTCGAAAAAATATTTTCAAACACCATTAACTGATAGCATCAACACCAGTTAAGAGGAACCTTAAAAGAGGAAACTGAGGGCTAAGACCAAGACTGTGATACAGACTTTCTCAGCAGTCACACACATTAAGACATTATGTGCTACACACACACACACACACACACACACACACATCCACACACACACACACACACACACACACACACACACACGCACACAAAGACACACACACACACACACACACACACACACACACAGAGTTCCTTACTGGCTCATTAATTCCAGAAGTTCACTGTTTTGAAGTTTAACTAAATGGAACAATCTGGACCAAGAGTCTAAATAAACAGGAGGATTTGAATTCCACTTTGGTTTGGAGTATTAATAATACAGCTCCTTCAAATCTCATACTTCTTCCAAAAGAAGACTTAAATGGGTTTTTTTTTTGTTGTTTTTTTTTTACAGTAACCGAAACTGTGAAGAATTTGGTCAGAGGGAAACAAAAACTGATTAACTTTTCACACCAAGGCTATAAGGGGTTGTGAGGTGTGTATATGTCCTCTTAAGATACAGAGTACAACTTGTGAGCGGGTCATGCTTTGCATACCTTCCACCAGATATTATAGGTCAAAAGAAAAAAAAAAGGTCAACTTTAACAACAGGGGAGCACAGGCTGCCGCTTTGACGTACAATTTTTTACAGACAAATGAGCTGTTGTTGTCATCATAAGCTTAAATGCTTGGAAGTGGTAAAAATTTGAAGCTTTACTACAAGGCAGAAACATGAATGTTCATGTCTTTAAACAAAATTGTAATGGAAAATTATTTATCATTTATGACACAGTTGCAGCTGGCCCTGAAGGATATGAGCTCTGCTAAAT